TACACGAGGGTTCACCAGAGCACGACCTGGCGTCACCCGGACACCAGACGGCTGCCGGCGAGGGGCCGCCCCCCCCCCCGTTCCACCTGGTGGACACCGCGTGTCCCGCTCCGTGTCCACGTCCGCCAGAGCGGGGCCGTGTCCGTGCACCGGCAGCCGGATATCAGACAGATATCGGACGGATATCAAACGGATATCAGCCGGATATCAGACAGATATCAGATGGATATCAGATGGATATCAGACGGATATCAGATGGATATGAGTTATGGACAGATATCGGACGGATATCATACAGAAATCAGACGGATATCAGACGGATATCAGACGGATATCAGATGGATATCAGACAGATATAAGACCCCTATCCACTCCTAGCCACCCCTATCCTACCATGGCCACCGAGCCACTGCCTGACGCCAAAGCCCTCAGCCCTCAGCCTTCAGCTCTCAGTCCTCAGCCCTCGGCCCTCAGCAGCCCAGCAGCCCGCAGCCGGCACACAGGGCACACCGACAGCTCCCCTGCTCCCGCCCGTGACTGTCCCCTGCTCCTGCCCGTGACTATATCCCCTGCTCCCGCCCGTGACTGTCCCCTGCTCCTGCCCGTGACTGTCCCTGGAGCTGACGATTGCCGCGTAAACTAAAAATTGAGGACATAATAGAACACGTGAAAATACCGTATTAACAATCCACACCAACTTAGACCATTGAGCAGTTTTATGAGAAACACACCAGGATATCCGAACAAGCTCTTCTGTTTCATGGACTGATTCTCTACTGTTGAAAAGACAGCTCATAACATGAACAGAGCACAGCTAGGTACAATTGTAAGGATACAATGGTTTCTAATTTCGCCGGACTGGCCGTGCAATGTGCATAGCTGTAGCATCCGTTGGCGTGCCTATGCACACTTGTCGGTGGTTTCTGAGAAGCACCCAAGCTCGCCGCAGCTGTCCTGCTACCTATCACTACACATCACTAACGCTAACCGCCAATCGTGAAGCAAGGTGCGTTTTAAAAGTGATTCGTGAGTGGCCCTCAAGCAATACTGGGCAGCTAGCATTTAGATCATTGTCTTGATAATATTATATGCATATCTCTTTAACCAGCGCCCCGCTGGGCGCTGAGCTATTCAGCCATACGCGCCCTGCTGGGGGGGCAGATTCTGCCCCCCCTGTCTAACTTCCGAACCGATGGTCGTAGAAAGACGGGGAAAACGGCAATCGAAAGCTCTCAACAAGGTAGATCTTAAGAGACAATTTTTTTTTTGCTCGAGTAGGTCAAAGGTCATGTAAGGTCAGGTCAAGGATACAGATTAGTCGCTTAAATTTTCAGGGAATGTGTTAAATGGATGCATGATAAGGTACTGAAAGGGGGCAGCCCCCCCCCCCAGCGGGGTGCAGGATAAAAGAAATGATACCTAGTGCACACACAGAACATAAAAACAGACTTAAAGGCACACACCATCGGAGCAAAATACTGAGTTAGGTAAATTACGTAAATTTAATTAGGTATGGGTATTTGAATGGTGGCTTTATGGGAACCGATTGCAGGAATGAACTAGCGTATCAATGTTTTACCATTTATAGTGTGACGATGTAGGGTGATAAGGTGAGATGGTCTGAGACATCAGCAGCAAAATGACCGGTTCGGTGTTAAATGCGGCAAAAGTGAGTTTCCGTGTACCGTTGTAAGGAAGCATTGAAATATCTGATCAGCTTTGAAATCTACGCCTGCCTGTGTCCGTGTCACGTACAATGCACATTGTTGGCACGTTTGTATCTGCGCTGTGCGCGGCCAGTGCGTCCGCTTCCTCGTGGTGCGTGACGGAGAGACCTTGGTGAACTGGAGCCGGTATTTAAGGGAGCGGGCCCCGAACTCAGCGAGACAGTGTGACGCGGTGTGACGGGACGCAGAGTGGGACCCTCTCCGAGCCGACACCGGCGCCAGAATGACTCCTCTGGTGAGTACGGCCGCGGCCAGTGTCTGCCGTCAACCAATCGTGACGTAATTCAGGACAAATGAAATCGCCATCGCTTCTACATGTTACTCATATTTCGACGGGAAAGCTGCTCTCTAGCATCATTATCAAGGTGATTATGTAAGAGAGCAATTAGAGATAGTAAAAAATAATACAAGTTTCCGGTCAAAGTGATGATTCATTGTGCATATTTTCCGGCGAACTGTAGCCAGAATCCGTGTGATATCAGGCACAGTTACATGTATAGCGGTGGTCTGTCCTGTAACTCTCGACCACCTTTGACGCCCTGTGTTGCCCTGTTCCAGGCCCTCCTCTGTCTCCTCCTGACCCTGGGCTCGGGGACGGCCCGTCCGGACGGACGACTGCTGTATGCCGCCACCTCCGGCCCCGCGGCAGCTGCCCCCTCTCTGGAGCAGGCGGCAGACACCGCGGGCCCCTCCGGCCCCGTGGGAGCTGCCCCCTCTCTGGAGCAGACGGCAGACACGGCGGGCTCCTCCGCCGCGCGCGGGGCACACACCGACACCGGTCTGACACCGGATGGAGGTCGGCCGGCAGCGGCTTCAGAGTCTCCGGCGGGTGAGGCAGACGACGACCGAGGCTCGGCTGCCCCGCGGCAGGGTCAGGACTCGGGCGAGCTCGGCGCTGACGCGTCCGGCGCTGACAGCGGTGAGGACGGCGGTGTGGACCCGCTGAGCGGGGGAGCGGCGGCCGCAGGGAGCCAGGGTGACTTGGTGGACGACATGGGCCGACAGGAGGACGGCGGAGTGGAGGGTGAGCAAATGGACGATAGCGAAGGTGACGGTGCTGACGGAGGTGACGACTATGACGCTGGTGGTGACGAAGACCACAAGGCCGGCAGTGAAAACGATACTGATGATGGTGATGACGATGACGACGACGATGGCAATGATGCTGCCGATGATGATCAAGACGACGATGATGAGTTTGATGAAGATGATGATTCTGAGGATTATGATGAAGAGGAGGAAAAGGAGGATGAGGGTGATGATGAAGATGATGAGGATGAAGAGCAGGAGGAGGATGAGGACGATTATGAGGATAAGGATGAGGATGATGAGGAGGATGAGGATGAGGATGATGAGGATGAGGATGACGAGGAGGAAGAAGATGACGGTGAGGAGGATTATGAGGATGAGGATGATGAGGATGATGAAGATGATGATAACGAGGAGGAGGAAGATGGCGATGATAGTGAGGATGAGGATGAGAAGAATGAGGACGATGACAATGAGGATGAAGATGAGGATGAAGATGAGGATGAGGATGATGAGGATGATGAGGAAGATAATGATGACGATAACGGTGATGCCATTGCAAAAACTGAAGATGATAAAGACTCCGTCAACGACGACAACAAAATCGAGGGTGATCAGAAGGACAATGGACAAGAGACCGTCGATGGCGATCAGTTGAGCGGTGAAGTCGAGGAGGGTGGACACGGGGACGACCAGGACGGGCTGACGTCAAGTGCGGAGGGAGCCGCCTCTGCTGAAGCCACCGAGGGAGCGGCGCAGCCGGCGGCCCCGGAGAGCGGATCCGCGCCGCCTCAGCCGCCCTCTGATGCTGCTGCTGCTGAGGTGACAGACGACGAGAGCGGTGTCGCCAGTGACGCCAGTGATAGTGATCAGGACACCAACAGTGACTCGCGATGAATTTTACCAGTACCATGCTGCTCTATCGTCTGTTTTTCTTTCTATTTTTGAATAAGGACTCTTCTGAAGGCTGGCTATACTATAGGCTATTTTGATGTGTTCTAATGTATGTTTTGTTTGCTCTATTTAATACATGGGGCATTCCACGATAGATCGTACCAGGCCCGTCACCCTCATCTCTCAGATTTTAATGAAAATCGGTCCTAGGGGTAATCATAGGCCCCAAAGACGCCTGGCAAAATATCAGACTTCTCAGATCAAAACTTTTTGAGTTATATTGCATTACATTTTTTAAACTTCGGTATGTAACGGTGAGTTTGATGGCCTATAACTCAAGAACGGGTTAAGCAACCAACAAAAAATAAACAACACTAAGCTTGCGATGAATCACAAATTAATATTACTATTTAAAAATTCCAAAGAAAAAATTTCATTGTTGAGCAAAAACCTTAATCTTTTTTCATTTGCCTCTAATGACTTTTGGGACCAAAATTTTTCACATTTTTATTTTTTCAAAATAATCTTCATGTCATTGCAAATCGACATGCAAAAAATTAGAAAGGTGTTCTTTCTATAAGTTCCTCATTTTCCCGCAAACAAAATGGGTTTCGGAGGGGTTGATACGACCCCAGCACGCCGTTTCGCTTCTAATAGAGCTAGAGCCTCGCGGAAAAAACGAGCGTGTGTGCCGTTACAAGTCGCAGCGATTGATACCCGATTTTAAGGTCTCAGGTTAACCGGTAGCGTCTGAGGTCAGGTCACGCGACTGAAGTTACGGGTTCGGTTTTTAGTAAATAACTTCGCAAAAAAATGGCCGCAGAGCCGCGATTTTGGCATCATTGTGTTCGCCTAGCTCAGGTGCATCGAATGGTATACTTTTTGCCAGGGTGAGGTCAACTCAAGTAGTTGACCTCGGGTCAAGGTCAGGTCAGAGCCCCTCAGGTCACGAAGCTGGGCAAAGGGTATCATATGACATATCATTCGATTCGGAAGGTCTTCCCGAGTCCATTGGTGGCTTTTCCGACTCTCTAGCTCCATTTGATCGGGAGTTATTGACGAAAAACTCGTACGACCCTAGTGACGTCATAAATGACGTCAAGCAAGGTTAACAATGCAAAAGTAAAGCATTGGACTTTGCAAGGAGTGCATGAAATCACGATACCATGTACGTGGGATAGTTTTAGATCATTCTCGGCGCCAAAATAACAGTTTTTATATTTCCCCATTGATTTATAACAGTGATGTCACGTGACCGACCTGACCTCATGTAACCTTGAAAAATTCCCAGATATACAAGTTGTGAGATCCAGAGGAGGACACCATGTATGCGTCCTGTAGCTTTCATCTCGGACAGCTATGGTCATTGGCGTCCAAAACAATGTCAGAACCAAACAGCCTTTTTCACCCTCGCGCTTATAGGAAAGAGGGTTGAATGAACCCTCTTTTCACTTTTTTTCAGATGACTCAGACTTGAATTGAAATTTCAGTAACCCGTGATGTCACTAGGCAGCTTTACCACGCCATTTGTAAGCTCCCCTCCCGAAATCACTAATCGAAACCGTTATCGTGACGTAAAATAAATACATTTATAGAAAGAACACCTTCCTAATTTTTTGCATACTTCTTAACAATGAGCCAAATATTTTTTCAAAGAAATAAAAATTCAAAAAAATTTGGTCCCAAAGTCCAAAAAATACAAATGAAAGAAAACTCGATATGTCATATATCAAAAATAGCGTATTTTTCGAAATTTCAAAAATACATATTAATCTCTGTTTCATTGCAAGTTCAATGTTATATAACATTTGGCATTTGAATAATCCGTCTTAGAGTTACAGCCCGCCAAACTTAGCGCTGCAAAGCAAGATCCAAAAAATGTTATGCACCATAACTCAAAAAATACTTATCTGATAAGCCTGAAATTGTTACAGGTGGATTCAGAGCCCCTGATTACCCCTGAGACCAATTCTCGTCAAATTCCGAGAGATGAGGGTGTCAAATTGGAAAAAAGTGGTACGATCTATCGTGGAATGCCCCACATGTATTATAACACAGTTATCCAAGGCTTCGTCTTCTTCTCACGACACCAATAAGCTTTCCGCCAATCACAGAGGCTTTTGCAGCTAAAACAGATACTGATTACCTGATCAAATTGTTTTATTCTTATGCAGCATTCTCCGCAAGTCCTTTATCCCTACCACCATTCGGCAATGGAATCTTCTTCCTGAAACCCTTCGCAATACCCCATCCCGCCGTGAATTCACTCGTCAAGTCTGGCAGCGATTTGGGGCACCGGAGCCACCAACACTGCATTCAGTACACTGTAAAAAATATTGACTAGCCCCTCGTCAAATGATTCTCAACGCTAAATGTCGGGGGTACAGACTAGTTTTGCATCCTACTTTTGACACACGCTGCGAGCCCCTGGCTTGTTTTGTGTTCGTCAGATGACAGTTACCAGGTGTCGGTTAGTTTTTACCACGTCCCAAAAATAGCTGGAGCGTTTCTGCCTTGTTTTGGAAGCAGGTCCTCGTTAATGCTGTGTATGATAACAAAGTACCTAGTAACAATAATAACGAAAAACAATGTCAAAACGAGGGCGGCTTGTTTAGTGACGATGCTCAAAAGAAGCATCGTCTTGTTCCTACTTAACGAATGAAGCTCAAACTAGGTCAAAACTAACGTATTGCTCAACCCATAGTCAGATGACCAGCAGATTCTACGCCGCCCAATCCAGTCATCGAATTTGCCAGCGAATTCGTTTGAAGACCATCATATTATTAAATATCGGTGGTCTTCAAACGAAATCCCTTACCAGTTTGATGACGAATTCATCCGGCCCATTCCAAAAACGCTCAAGATAAAATGAAAGTGTATTTCTGAAATAATATGCTTTCTTGCAATGCACCTTTCGTATATCAAGCGAATCTTTCACTTCCAGCGCCCGTTTACAGTTATCAATCGAATCAGAAGCATGCACATACCTATCGATAGATCTGAACCTAAGAACACAGACGACATTTTGTAGAGTACCTGTCTGAGCCTATGCAGTGGAGCCCGTGAGCCGCCCAACCGCAGCTGCCTCATGAACTTGATGATAGGTCTGAACCTCAGATTGGCCAGAGCTTGGCCGTCAATAACCAGCTTATTCATATCCACAGTTGTAGTGACTTAGGGTTTGGAATTTGCCAAACCTAAGTTTTGATTACCAAGAGAAGTTTTGTACTTCTTGCACTTGCCCTTTCTTCATAACTTTGGCGGAAATCGTCGTAGTGAAACTTCAGTGTTCCGTTAGCTGTCGGTTCTTGAGAGAGTTGGCCAGGCCGGACACCGGGGGCGGCTCCACAACTTTCGAAAAATTAAACCTAAGTCCTATTGCACTGCATGGAGAGCAATTCATTTAAAATCGCTCTTGTTTCGCCCCCCCCCCCCTCGACAACTTTGCAAACGTCTCTGCGCGATTTGGTTGAGAATAATGGCTTATGGCAAGTTATTGAATCAGAACGTCGATCACTGCAGGTCATATATCGGCAAGCAATTCTTCATAACTAGACACTGCACAAATGGAAACGATACAGGTTTGCCCATTGATAAACACTCGCACTGCACAGACTCGCGCACCCCCGACCGAACGCGGCACGGCACAGCGCAACAGCTGGCGCCGGGAAGCCGGGAACGTATTAAGTGAAGGATTCACAGGTGCGCAACTTTATTGCGAACAATAAAAACCTACCGCAAACGATTAAAAAAAAAAAAGTTTTAGGGCAATCGGAAATACAAATGTATTGACTTATAGAAATAAAATTGTCATTCACCTTCCAAATAACCCAACAATTTATTTGCCGTAAAAAGTGTCTGGAAATGGAAAGTTGCTAACATGATTCGGCAAGTAGGGAAACGCAGCCGCTACCTGGCGAATAATCTCAGGCTGGTTTAGTGGCGAGTGCATTGCTACGGCTTGTTCCTCAACCTTCACAGATTACTATGACAAAACTACCCCTAGTATTTTGATCATCCTGAGGCTGGCTTTCACCTAATAATTTGATGAGGGTCTTCCTCGTTTCGGATTGAGGCGAAAACAAACGTCAAACAACCTTGATAGTTAATCCAGCACTTCAAAACAAAGGTACACCTAGGGTATCATTACAATACCGGATCATAACGATCTGGATAGTTCTCAGCCTGTAAGCTAACTAAGCGGTAACTAGTCAAGTGGTAGGTACCGGAAGCATTGACAACCTGGTGACTGTTTCGAGACCCTTGTTTTGACACATAGCTCGTCAATATTTTTTACAGTGTAGGGACCAAAAGGGCTAGCACATACCACACCAGACTACGAGTCGGTCTATCACATCTACATGCATCTACATGCACATCTATATCAACACCAACTTGCACAAAGCCCAGCATGCACATGTGGACATCAGTCATCACCAAGATGACACTGCACACTACATACTCCGGTGCCCCCTATACACACACCAAAGATCACTTCTCCTCAACGCGGCGCGAACAATCATACCAAACTTCGAAAACATTTCCTACAAATGCAAGCTTAGTGCACTCCTATTCGGCAATGATCTTACTGAGAACCAGGGAATCAGCATAACACATCATCTCCATGCATACATTGTACATACTCAACGCTTCAACACGCACACACAGCAATAACACACACACACACACACACACTACATCGTACCCGATTGTTGCTGTCCGGGGCCCGGACACCTGTGACTATGTCCGGAGGGCTGCTCGGCGGGCTGCTGGCGGGGCCGTCGTGACCTGTTGCCAGGTGGTTTTATTTTGCACTTAATTTTCGTGTTAATATTTCATTTTTGTGCGTGTATTTGTGTTTATGTTTTGTAGGAAAGGCGCTTTGATTTAAGCATTTTGCTTTTGCGCCGATCCGTGATTATTTTCTCCGATGTTTCTTGTTCTTGGTTTCCAAAATATACTGAAGTGAAGTGAAGTTAAGTGAAGCATTAAATGCTTACCTACATATACCTATAGGCCGTTTTCACGACGAGTTATCTGGCGAATGAACTAAACTTGACCAAATCTGCACCAAAT